GGAGGGACAGGTGAACAGCAACAACAACGAAGGAGGGACAGGTGAACAGCAACAACAACAAAGGAGGGACAGGTGAACAGCAACAACAACGAAGGAGGGACAGGTGAACAGCAACAACAACGATCGAACTGTGCAACGATTCACGGTTATTGCGTCCGCACGGTATTTTTTCCTCTGCTGATGTTAAACTTATCATTGGCCAAGTTCAGTCATTGATTATAATCAGCATTTTCATTTTTATCATTGTTACAATTATTATTTTAAATTGTATTAATATTTCGATTATTTTTATTGTTTGTATTGTTTTTTATTGTATTGTATTTTTTTTATTATAACCATTGTTATCATTAGTATTATTATAATTATTATCATTGTCGTTATGATGATATGACTAATATTGCCCGTGATCTATCTTAAATTATTAAATTTTAAGTTTTTCTGTTGCTGTAGGGGCGCGCATCCAGAATATTTGTTTCGGGATATTACCGGTGCCTGGAAGTTTATTCTTACCAAAAAGAGGCGAAAAAGTATATTATAATTTCTATATGGGATTCAAGTGTAAATGTAAAAGTTTGTTACATGTAAAAATTAGGATTTTCAGAATTTTCCAATTGCGGAGAGAATATATGTCCTTTGCCACGCCGGGCCAGCCTGTCAATATTATAATGCTAATATTATTAAGAATCCTATTATATTGTAACACAACTTGCGGGATAGCCCGGAATAGCCCATGCTCGATTATCCCTGCAAATTTCGAATATTATTATCCAGTATACCAAAAAATAACGCTAATTTCAATTATCTAAAGAGAGATCAAATAAAATTTTCACAGAACATACAACTCGCAGTTCATCCAATCTATCCTTGCCAGTATTGCAATGCCTCGCTATTCTCCCACTGAAAATAATGTTTTCCCACGTAATATCCCGACACGATAAGTATCCTGGATGCGCTCACCAACAGCCCTATATATTTGTGGTGCCATATGTATCCTGGATACGCACCCCAATGGCCAATATTTTGAGGTGACATTAGTATTTTGGATACGCGCAACAACAGCACCTGTATATATGTGGTGCGTGTACCATTGTCATTGGTTCGTACGTGTGTCATTCCAATTGTGGGTAAGCGCCTGCCGTTACCTGTGTTAGACGGAGTGACCATGTCAATGGTAATTAAGTAGCTTGTATACGGAGCCAGTAGTGGCAGCCAGTACAATTTTATGAGGTAACCTGTAACTAATTACCATGCTGCAGGTTTAGTGTAAAGGGTTACTGGATCCTTCACTTGCCAGTAGCGCCTAGACTCGGTATAGAGTGGCGGTTAGTATAACAAAGTTGTACTGACCACTACTAATATGTCCGTGGACAAGCACTTTTACAGGGATTGGACGAAATAAGGGAATAACTGAACATTTGAAATCATAATTTGTGAACATGTAATATATATAGCAAAACTAGCATATCTTAATGTTTCTTTGTTTATTATTGGCGCTAATTGATATTTTATATTTTAACGATATATTTAGGCGTTGTTGTCTCTACAACCATTTAAAAAATTTATAAATGACGAGCCTCTATCAGTTTCAGAGAGGCCAAATAGATGGTGCTCGTATAGTAGGTGTTAGTCACACTCTAAAAATGCATACTTTGTATCAATCAATGCCCGGACAATTGAGGCTGTAATTGCCATAAAGGTGGACTAAATGCTAAAATATATGTTATGGATATTTAAGAAGTTTCCCCTACTTATTCCAACTCTTGAATATACGCCCCCTAAAATGCTCAAAGATCCTAATTGATTAAATATGCTGGATGAAATGGCTTTCATTACCAAGTTAATTTGGATAAGATGGTAAATTTTCGCATATTATTGTGATGAAGTGAATGCAATTGGAAAGTACCCTTGACAACGTAAGTAGGACCTGATGAGGGAAGTCTTGTCAATGATTGCCTTTAGCTTAAGAAATTCCGAAAACAATATAAGACTTGCTGTAAAAAATTATTAAAATGAGTTTTGTTTCAAAATAACGGAGCGTATTACTCGTTTCTGTCAGGAGTTCAGCTGGAAGATAGCAAACAAGAAGGCAAGGAAAAATTGCGCCGTGAACCCTATGCAGACTCTCCTATACCCGGCGTTACCAGGTCAGAGGGAAAATGTATATGTAATGAAGCTGGTTGCTTGCTCGGGTTCATTTCTCACTCGTGTCTGGTACCTTCCTTGAAGCGCTCCTATCAATCATTAACATTTTATTTAAACAAGACTAAATGGAATAGTTAATACATTAATACAAAGGAA